AGCCACATCAACCTGAGCAGTGTTTGATTGTTTGTTGTTGTGTCCTGTTGTTTTTCTTCTTTTCTTTCTCCTCTATCCACTCACCCCAACTGGTCGAGGCAGAAGGCCGCCCACCAAGAGCCGGGGTTTGTTGGAGGTTTCTTCCATTAAAGGGAGTTTTTCCTCCCCACTGTCGCCAAGTGCTTGCTCAAGGGGGATTTGTTGGGTTTTCCCTCTGTAATAATAGTGATAATAGCAAGGTTTAGACCTTACTTTGTAATGTGTCCTGAGATGACTTTTGTTGTGATTTGGCGCTATACAAATAAAATTTGATTGGATTTGATTTGAAGTCTGGTTCATCCTGAAGGTACCATGTTCATCTGTACAAATAATAATATGTAAGTATTGTTAGAAATTAATAAATCAGTCAGATAATTATTAGACTTTAATGTGTTAGACTTTAATGTGTTATTAATGCAGTTTAGTAAGATTCAAAGTCTGCTCTAGTCTGCTCTGTTTCAAGGTTAGCAGTAAGCCATATCACCAATTGTTTTCTTTTATTAATCTTGTGTTAGATTTATGTCTGAACAATTGTTTTAGTTACACACCACGTAACAACACACACATACATGGAATTCTTCATTTTGTTATGACTAGGTAATACGCAGCTGCTCTTCAAATATTTGTCTAATAGTTCCCAGTGAATATTGCTGAAAAAAACCTAGAAGAAGGCATCTGGATATAGTTTTAGGTAGAAAACGTTTCACCTCTCATTCAAGAGGCTTCATCAGTTCTGTCTGACTGGTGGTGAGCAGGAGATATTTATCCCACTGGGTGGTGTTTCAGTCCTTCGATGGCCAACAATGTCCCCTAACGACTCAGTCGTTAGGGTCTGGTATCAGTGAGACTTGTTACCTGTCTTTGAACCCTCACATGTGGACTGATGCCTATTGTCCTGGTGTGAATTGGGGTGGAAATGTTTGGGTAGAGATTTCAAAACAGAGTTGTAGATGGATAACAAGTTGTGTCTGAGTCCACCATCCCTATTTAAAGAGGGGTGTTCTATTTGGGCAAAAAATTGCTTCTTTGACTCCTCTCTCAAATCAATAGTGTTCTCTGGAGAGGATCTGGATTTCACTGTCCTCAAAAGAATCCCTTTGTCCTTCAGGTGGAGATGGCCTGCTGACTCTGGTTTACTAGGGTTGACCCTCCTGTGTTGGGCCATGCACTTGTGCAGCGACTGTTTTGTTTCCCTAATGTACAGGTCATTACACTCCTGTCTAAATTTGATTGCATACACCACATCACTCTGTTTATGTCTGGGTGTTTTGTCCTTAGGATGGACCAGTCTCTGCCACAGGGTGTTCTCTGGCTTAAAGTTGACTGGGATATTGTGGTTGCAGAAAATCCTTTTCAGCTTCTCTGATAAACCAGCCACATAAGGGATGACAGTGTTATCCCTTCTTGTATCTGGTTTCTCCCTGCTGGCATTGGGCCTCTTTGGCCTCTTCCTTGATTTGGTGAAGGCCCACTTGGGGTATCGACAAACCTTAAGGGATTCCTGGATGTGTAGTTCCTTAAGGTTCCTTAACCTTCCTGCCAGAGACCACCCTGCGGGAGAGACTGGTTCATCCTAAGGACAAACATTATGTGGATATACTGAAGCAAAATCTCAAGACATCAGCCAGGAAGTTAAAGCTTGGTCTCAAATGGGTCTTCCAAATGGACAATGACCTCAAGCAGACTTCCAGAGTTGTGGTAAAATGGCTTAAGGACAACAAAGTCAAGGCACTGGAGTAGCCATCACAAAGCACTGACCTCAATCCAACAGAAAATATGTACCTCAATCCAATAGAAAATACAGGTATGTGCCAAAAAATTTGAATATCGAGGAAAAGTCCATTTATTTCAATAATTTGTTTCAAAAAGTGAAACTTGTATGTTATATTAGTTCACTACACACAAAGTGAAATATTTCAAGCCTTTATTTGTTTCAATTTGGATGATTATGGATTAAAGACAAAAAAAAACAAATCCAGTATTCCACAAAATTAGAATATCATGACAAAGTTCAACACTGTAGGCTCCCTGTGTCCCAATCTAGTCAGCTAATTAATGCAAAACACCTGCAAAGGTTTCCTCAGCCTTGAAATTGTCTCAGTCTGGCTTAGTAGGCTTCAGAATCATGGGGAAGACTGCTGACTTGACGGTTGTGCAGACGACCATCATTGACACCCTCCATAAGGAGGAAAAGTCTCAAAAGGCAATTGCAAAAGAAGCTGGATGCTCACAGAACGCAGTATCAAAGTATATTAACAGAGTGTTAAGAAGAAGGGAAGAATGTGGCCGGAAAAGGTGCAAAAGTGACAGGGATGACCGCAGCCTTGAGAGGATTGTCAAGCAAGGGCGATTCAGAAATCTGGGGGAGCTTCATAAGGAGTGGACTGAGGCTGGTGTCAGTGCATCAAGAACCACCACATACAGACGTCTGCATGACATGGGCTACAGCTGTAGAATTCCATGCGCAAAGCCACTCCTGAACCAAAAACAACGTCAGAAACGTCTGTGCTTGGCTAAGGAGAAACAGTACTGGTCTATTGCCCAATGGTCCCAAGTCCTGTTTTCAGATGAAAGCATATTCTGCATTTCATTTGGAAATCAAGGTCCCAGAGTCTGGAGGAAGACCGGAGAGGCACAAAAGTCAAGCTGCTTAAAGTCCAGTGTGAAGTTTCCACAGTCAGTGATGGTTTGGGGAGCCATGTCATCTGCTGGTGTGGATCCATTGTCTTTCATCAAGTCCACAGTCAACGCAGCTGTCTAACAGGAAATTTTAGAGCACTTCATGCTTCCCGCTGCCGAGGCTGCGGTCATCCCTGTCACTTTTGCACCTTTTCCGGCCACATTCTTCCCTTCTTCTTAACACTCTGTTAATATACTTTGATACTGCGTTCTGTGAGCATCCAGCTTCTTTTGCAATTGCCTTTTGAGACTTTTCCTCCTTATGGAGGGTGTCAATGATGGTCGTCTGCACAACCGTCAAGTCAGCAGTCTTCCCCATGATTCTGAAGCCTACTAAGCCAGACTGAGACAATTTCAAGGCTGAGGAAACCTTTGCAGGTGTTTTGCATTAATTAGCTGACTAGATTGGGACACAGGGAGCCTACAATGTTGAACTTTGTCATGATATTCTAATTTTGTGAAATACTGGATTTGGGTTTTTTTTTGTCTTTAATCCATAATCATCAAAATTGAAACAAATAAAGGCTTGAAATATTTCACTTTGTGTGCAGTGAACTAATATAACATAAAAGTTTCACTTTTTGAAACAAATTATTGAAATAAATTGACTTTTCCTCGATATTCAAATTTTTTGGCACATACCTGTATGTGGGCAGAACTGAAAAAACATGTGCGAACAGGGAGGCCTCCAAACCTGACTCAGTTCCACCATTTCTGTCAGGAGGAATGGGCTAAAATTCATTCATCCATCGATCCACTATCTATACTGCTTATCTTAACAAGGCTCATTGGGGGCCTGGAGCCAATCCCAACTGACACTGGGCAGGAGGCGTGGTTCACCCTGGACAGGTATGGGCTAAAATGCCAGCAGCTTATTGTAAGAAGCTTGTGGAAGGCAAAATCTTTGATCCAAGTTAAACAATTTAAAGGCAAAGCTACCAAATCCTGACCGAGTGTATGTAAACGTCTGATGCACTAGGAATGTGATGAAAGAAATAAAAGCTGAAATAAATCTTTTTCTCTACTATTATTATTACTATTATTTCACATTCCTAAAATAAAGTAGAGATCCTAACTGACCTAAGACAGGGAATGTTTATAGGATTAAATGTCAGTTGTGAAAAAATTTAGTTTAAATGTACAAACCCCAATTCCATTGAAGTTGGGACATTGTGTAAAATGTAAATTACAAACAGAACACAATGACTTGCAAATCCTTTTTGACCCATATTTAATTGAATACACCACAAATACAAGATATTTAATGTTCAAACTGATAAACTTAGTTTGTTGCAAATATTCACTCATTTTGAATTTGATGCCTGCAACACGTTCCAAAAGAGCTGGGACAGGGGTATTTTTACCACTGTGTTACATCACCTTTCCTTTTAACAACACTTCATAAGCGTTTGGGAACTGAGGACACTAATTGTTGAAGTTTTGTAGGTGGAATTCTCTCCCATTCTTGCTTGATGTATGACTTCAGTTGCTCAACAGTCTGGGGTCTGTGTTGTCATATTTTGCACTTCATAATCTGTCACACATTTTCAATGGGAGACAGGTCTGGACTGCGGGCAGGCCAGTCTAGTGCCCGCACTCTTTTACTACGAAGCCATGGTGTTGTAACACGTGCAGAATGTGGCTTGGCATTGTCTTGCTGAAACCAGCACAGCCTTATGTTGGTTTACTGTTTACTTGCCCCTTGCATGGGGATATGTACATACACATTGAGAGCCGATGTACCAGAGTCAAATTCCTTGTTTGTCTGACACACCTGGCCAATAAAGCAGATTCTGATTCTTAAACTGTTGGACTATTTACTCACACAGTTGTTCATAAAGTAGTGAACTGTGCCCTCTCCTTGCTTGTGAATGACTGAGCCTTTTGGGATGCTCCTTTTATACCCAATCACGATGCTTACCTGTTTCCAATAAACTTGTTCACCTTTGGAATGTTCCAAACAGGTGTTTTTTGAGCATTCCTCAACTTTCCCAGGTTTTTGTTGCCCCTGTCCCAGGAACGTGTTGCAGGCATGAAATTCAAAATGAGTGAATATTTGCAAAAAACAATAAAGTTTACCAGTTTGAAAATATCTTGTCTTTGTGGTGTATTCAATTAAATATGGGTTTAAAAGGATTTGCAAGTCATTGTATTTATTATTATTTACATTTTACACAATGTCCCAACTTCAATGGAATTGGGGTTTGTATTTGGCTAAGGTGTATGTAAACTTCTGACTTCAACTGGAAGTGTGTGAATGCATGTTTGTGTGGGCTCCTCACCATGATGTTGAAATTTAGTTGCTTAGGCAGAAAATTGCTGCAGGACAGGCAGTCTGCCTGGCAGTCACTCCATCCAGGATCACACAAACTGAGCAAAAGTAGAGCCACCACAGTCTTCATGGTCCCACCGTCTGCTGCACAACACAGGACAAAGCAAACACACATCTTCAGTCTAACAAATGTTTTAGCTTTTACCAAGCACTGCTGCTTATAGGTTTTCAGTGTTGTTTACACCCAACATTAACATGCAAGCCATATCTTGACATGTTATCTGGATACAAACAAATTCATGGTACTATAAATCTAAAGTGTAAATGTACTGGGACCAGAAAGCAATGGGATCTGTCAGACCACATTTGGTCGATGTTGGCCATATTTCCGATGGGCCGGTAATTATTGTTTTTGTTTTGTTTCCTTAGTTGGCTACTTTCAAAATCGAGCATACTCTTGCTGGTGTAGTGGTTAAAAATAAATCA